ATTACATTGCCTGCCGAGGTGATAAGGGATCCCGCTTTTATTCAAAGTTTATGTGAAGTCTTTACTGTCCATTATAAAATGTTTGATGTCGGAACGATGATGACGATGGTGACCAGGAAGGTAGCTGATATGTCCGGCTCAGTGAAGAGGGGAAACAACTCTACAGTGAATAATGTGAAGCAAAATCCCGAGACTACGTTCACCTTTCGAAAGACTCTTTACTTTGGGGAACCTGATGAATTAGCATATCAGTACATTATGCGGCAGCAGTAATGAAATGCTAATTAGATTATTGCAGTGGTTTTGATATTGTTAAGTGTAAATTTAATAATTATTAATAAATTATTTTTAATCTGCCACTCCCTCAAATGGATGCTTCATAAGCAGTGTTCACAGATCAGTAACCATACCTGATATTTCAGTTTGTTAAAGTGATGTTTGATAAAGACTATGGACCATAGCTTTATAGTAAGTTGAGTAAATTTGATTATAATGGGAGGAATAGGTAGCATTTAAAAAATACTAATGAAATAGATCAAGTTCAATGATCCCCACTCTTAAAACATGTATTTTGTCAAGAATGTAAAGGTAAAAATTCCACACTTTTAATGAATTTTTTCATATTAATGTATTTATGTTGTGTAAAAACTTGGAGCCGGTTCAAATCAAATTTGGATACTATTTAGTTAGTTTCTCAAAAATTGGGCCAAAGTCCCTGAAGTACAGGGACTTTGGCCACAGGGACTTTCGCCAAATTTTGCCAAAATTATATTTTATACTAATAATAATGATTTTAGTATTGATAATAATATTTGATTATTATAGTATCTGACTATAGTAATAATAATGATAATTGTTTTTAATAGTTGTATAGACCCCTTTCGGCGAGAAGTAGCAGCTTGTGAATATCATTAATTTTGCAATGAATATCATTATATCTCAGTTACGGTATACGCCCACATACAATAATTGGCCGCCATGTTTTACGTCAAGCAGCAAGTGCTTTCTGTGTCCTGGAGATCTTGGTCACTACATTTTGAAGCTAAAAACTATTCTAGAGTCAAGAAAGATGCCAAGAGAGCCAACCTAGAAAGTATAGTGCAATACTCTTGTTTTATGAGCCTGCTTTCCTCTTTGGGCTGTGACAGAGAGTCAAGAACTGATCGTTCTGGCTCTCCCAGACTTCTTAAGTCTTCAAAATATCTTGCTATAGTAAAGAACAGTTGATATGAAGCCTCTCATAGTCCTGAGTTCAGCACAACAAAAGTTTTATTGGCAAAACAGCTCTACTTTGCACATCAGCCATTGGAACTCTGCATAACTTTGACGTAAAACATGGCGGACAAAAATCCGTTCAATATTATTTCTTTGTATATACGGTATCACAAACTAATTCTCGCCTAAAGGGGTCTATAGATCATAAGACAATATTCCCCAAACTGTTTGAATGCTCTTATTACACAGTCAAACTCTCTAAAACAAACTCTTAATCTTTCATCAGCTGGTAATAATCAATAAAGTAATCTGATGTACATTATACACTTAATGTTATTATTAATAGGAACTACTGCAGCATCACCTGTTGTACCTGGTAATCAACCAATAGCTGGTATAATTTATTTTAATTTATAATGATTTATTTTAGATGCTGTTCTTGATGCTGCTCCTAAAATAATGAAGGTGGTAATGTTTCTAAAACCCATTTGAATCACAATGGCGTATGATAGATGTG